CTGTTCGCACGCGAGCCTTCACAACATGCTAATGCGTCGATGGGAATTGTCAGTTTTCGCGAGTCTGCCGTGGGGCTTAGATTGCCATACCCTACCTCAAGCAGGCGAAATCACAAATGGAAATAGAGCAAAAAAGTGTCTGTCCTCACGCGAACTCGTGTTTGCAGTGACTGACAGAGTTCAACAACTAGATTACCATCAACGGTTTTAAAATTAGTGCTCTATGAGGTAGACAAATAATGTATACCTGAAATGAGTTCCGAATGCATACACACTGCACAACCGGCTCATATGCCGTTGTTTTATAATCCTAACAGCAAACCATATTTATTTCAGTATTATCATCGCAGGCAGGTTTGAGGCTTCTCAGTAAAGCAACAGAAGCATAGGAAAGAACTGTATCCCAGGCTGTATAGGGGCGTTAGATTGTATAACACGGGGAGTACACAAGTGCTAGCTAAAATCCCAGCTGTCTCGCCGATATTCTGGCGCCGCATGACCCAACCACGGGGAAGGGCTTGTCTCATCAATGGGGCAGTTTTTAAATTGTTGCTTTTTATTCTCCTCGGAAATTAATCACTCCAGTCTCTTAGCCTTGAACATGTAGCCGGGACCAACTTTAAGTTAGATTAATGATCACGCACACGATATAATAATTTGTCAGTAGAAACATACATTTACGGGCGGTTAATTGCAGAACGTGGTAGGACTGTCTTTAGAGGCCATACTTGCCTTTGACTTATAATAATAATCTACTTTTACATTTTGAAGCGGCCCGACTTTCCATTTTTTTTCGTTAAATCCCGCTGATATAAGGTCAAATTTCCATCAATAGGCATCAGTTGCCTGAGCAACAGGAGTTCATGTTGATGAAGTTGATTGTATTTAGTCTAGTAAAACGACTATATTCGGCTTTAATTTAATAATTTTGGTCGCTTTCGACACATTTACATATTCATTTACACATGTTAACCGACAACTAAATGTTTAACCACAAATTCTGTAAGACAGTTGAGCGGGGGAATAGATATGTAGGCAGTCCTACAAGACAGTCTTGCCCAAAACATCTCCCTTCTCCGGTTGCCTATAGCTAAGGTAGGTTTAACATTGGGAAGGAGTGCTGACTTTCCCAAATACTGCTTCAAGGAGATCGACGATCCCAGTTAGTCTCATCCAGTACGTTTTGTCACTTTCCTTTCAGAAAAAGGCTAAGATACTTTGCTCCTTGAATTACCTACTGGAAAAAAAAGATTACATTTTCCAGGCCTCGTGAGCCTAGGATAAGAAAACTTTATACCAGACAGCAGAGTATCACACAAAATGCATCTTCGTTTATTAAAAGCGAGCGAAAAACGAAATAAAAGGTAGACATTTATGTGATTGGTGGATCACGGGTAGGGCATATCGGTCATAAAATGCAGAAAAGCAGCAACAATTCGTGGAAAATACTGTGTTTTGGTACATCATGTTATTTTTAAGTGCATTTAATTACATTCGCGAAGGTAAATGGTAACTGAGACGAGTGAACCCCGGGGTGATTGGTCAGTGAGCTCGATGCCTTCCATAAGGCTAACTAAAAACCTGTTACTTGACTGGAGCCATTGTCAGTTCCTTCTTCATATCGACGTCTTATAAAACCAACACTGGCAATTCTGCGAGACGCACTGTGAAAGTATGCATTACGACCGCAAAATAAACAATAGACCTATTTTGTGATACATACAGACTTTTAGACGAAGGGCCTTTGAAAGCAGAACAACTAAACAGGGGATAACAGCGCAATATATTAGCATATATCATAAAAGACATTAATGTATATTTATAATATTACATAGCAGTTTTTAATGGTCCGTGATCCTTTCTGGGCTCAATTTTGATTGAGTAAATTGTATTGTCAAAAATTGCAAGGTCACTCAGGCGTTAACCAACTCGGCGGCGCTTTTGTCAACGGAAGACCCCTTCCAGACTCCGTACGTCAGCGCATCATCGAATTGGCACACTCCGGTGCCAGACCCTGTGACATTTCCCGCATCCTCCAGGTCTCGAATGGATGTGTTTCTAAGATCCTCTGCCGCTACTACGAGACGGGCTCCATCAGACCAAAAGCTATTGGCGGCAGCAAGCCTCGCGTGGCAACGAATGCCGTCGTGTTGAAGATCGCCGAGTATAAGCGCGAATGTCCATCGATATTCGCGTGGGAAATTCGTGATCGACTAGTTCAGGATGGCACCTGCACCGCGGACAACGTGCCTAGCGTAAGTCTTGCAGACCTGTCTTTAAAAATCCTCTCCTTTTGTCAATATGTAGGACACGGTACCCGATATCGTGGCCTTACAAGTGAAATAAGGTCCTAATTAATTGGCTATTTTCTCTTTTTGTCATTCAAAAAGAACGTTTACAAACAGCTCTTCCCTCCCGCTTGTCTCCCCATAATAAAGTCCCATAAGTCCCATAATAATAAAGTCCCCATAATAAAAAGTCTTGCAAAGACCTTTTGTTGACGAGTTTTGGAGGCACCATAAAAACTCATCTTGTTAATGGATATCTACGCCCCATTTGTTCGGCGCAACAAATCTTGACTAAACAGTTGCATGTCGAGAAACTGCCCCCATTTCGATTATTCTATGGTTGTGCGGTAAATATAATAATTTCATAAAATTGCGAAAATTCCCATGGAGGAATTCATATGACGAACCTAATTTTGCGTTCGATAAATTTTCGTCGGACCAGTACACTTACCGGGGAAGTGGATCGAGCAGACCGGGTCCGTGATTAGAGGACTTGATTAAAGTTCGTCCTAAAAAAAACGGACAACAGAACTATGGGGGAAGGGAGTCAGGGTAGTCAGGGTAGTCAGCTCAGCTCACGAGCAGTGGGGTTTATGGAGGGTGATGTCAGGGGAGGAGAGCGGGAGGGCGCGGAAAATTATAGGGAGTTAATCAGCATTTGGCCATGGTAAACACAGAACTTACACGAGGTATTTCTGTACGCATCAGACGGGCTTGCGTAAGCGGATGGCAGACGCTCCTGCTGTGGCCAACAGATACTGCCGCAGTGACCTAGAATCATCTAGTGGGACCTTAGAAGTCACATGAAAAGCTCCGTCGCGGATTCGTTGTCTATAAGCTGCAGTTTCAGTACCTCTGAGGAGTAGCCTATGAGTATATTGTAAATAAGATAGTCTCGTTTTACTTTGCTCAATCAAAGAAAAGTTAACTTTGGTGGCATAATCAAATAAACCTAAATATAACGCAATTCATGGGAAATAGTGGAGACTTTCAAAAATGGGTGCACTTCATTTCTGTGGAACACGGGAGCTAATGAGGCCCGATGGCCAGGAAAATATCTCCTTCGCAGATATCTCTGCCACAGGTAATGCTGAACCGCTGTATCCGAAATCTCGCCCGAAGATCTGCCTGCTGATCAGAACATGTCGATTTATCCGCGCGTTTGACAGGTGTAGTTACGATAGCCGAGAAGTATATTATCCTATACAAGCTAATGGGTCAGTAAAATTTTCTGTCCGGGGTGCTTATACACTGCTTTCAGAAATATTATATCCCCTGGAACTCAAACATGGCCTCCCGTTTCGAAATCCCAAACAGAACTTAATTCTTTTCAGTGGTGGCTTGGTCTATTATCCAAATGGCGATAGGGATCAAAACGCAGGCTGTCTATAGTAGTATATTTGTGGTGGAGAGAACACCCATTTCCGAATTGGGACTGTCTGCAAAATCTCGTACCAACCCCAGATGTAAATAAATACCGCTATTTAGGCAATTTAAGCTCGCTTAGCTTCTCCCTGCCTTGGAAAGTGCGCATACTAATAAGAAACCCAGAACTCAACGGACAGCTTGACTGTTGAGGGTTACAAGAAAAAAAAAGATCGATCTGCTTTAAGCAAAAAGCCGTTGCTGGCTTGAGAAAGTAAACGATGCGGTGACTGACAGTGGTTGGCACGCACAGCACCGTCGTCTGCGCCGTCTTCCGGTCGTTGTGGGTTAGATGCTTCGCGGGCAGTTGCTAGCCAAGAAAAAAAGTTACAAAGGCTCGAGAAGGGAAGATCTGGCGTTAAATAGAAACCCACACTGATATAGAGATCCTTAGTCACCTTGAGGAGGCAGGGAAGACTCTTTTGTGAGAAGAGGAGCTCACTGTTTACGTAAAACCCAGGCGTAACGTGGGGAATTCTGGTAGGGATTCAAGCTATGTTAGCCAATAATATATATATATATATATATATATA